GGGGGCAGGAGCCTGTGCCCGCTCCCTCCCCGGGGCTTTCTTCCGCGAGGGCCGCTGTGTGGTCTGAGCCCGGCACCACTGCCTGGAGTGACAAAGGCCGGCGTAACTGCGTTGCCGTGAATACTGTTTTCTCCATGATGTTCACACACATGCATGTCATGGAACATGTGTGAAAATCACTCACAGTAAACAGAAGGTGAACTGGAATACTGCTCCCTTCCTCTCCTCATCAGAGGTCACGATGGGGTGGGGAGGACCACGGTAACTGAAATCAGAAAAGAAAAAAACGTTCTCAGCAACGCGCTGGCTGTGCTGAGGACGGGAGCAGGCCTAAGCCAGCAGGTCGTTATCTCCAGAGGAGTCCCAGACTGCGAGAGGGCACAGGCCGTGCTGAGGGACCCCCCCGAGTGCACTAATTTTTGTGCACCGGGCCTCTAATCTATATATATAAAAGGCTAAGTGACCAACTGTAAGACCGACTGGCCGGTACATACGACGCGCACGGGCAATTCTAAAGTAATCGTTGGCTTGCGCAGGTGCGATACATATAAAGCTCTCGCTGCCGCCAACTGCAGGCGTGTGTTTCGATCTGTCATTGTCAATCGAGAAGTTGGGTGACACTTCTATTATAGAGAAAGGGTAAAGAGCGATATTAAAATATTTCTTCTAATTACTTTCCTTTCAATGTGCACGAATCCGTGCACCAGGCCAATCGTACTCATATAAAATTGGATGTGGCCCAGCATAGAGAGACTAACGTTCTTGGGAAATTCATATCCCATGGAGCAGAAAGGCACTTGGAACTGGATGTGGTTCATAATTTCATCCAAATAAGCTGTAAAATTATACCAATTGAATTAAAAATCGTAGTTGTCAAAATTTTACAAGTACTTTTTTCAATCCTTACCTGAGGATACATTCTTACTGTGTTTTGTTTGTTTGTTTGTTTGTTAGAGAGGAAGGAAGAGGGAATGAGAGAGAGCGAGCACGCAACATCAATCAGTTGCCTCCATTACATGCCCCAACCCAGGATCAAATCTGAAACCAGAGTATGTGCCTTGATCAGGAGGCAAATCCTCAACCCGCGTGCACTGGATAACTCTCCAACCGAGCCGGCCAGGGCTACAAGTATTTTTTCATAGAGTAATTGAACCACATTTTTGTGAGAAAGCTGATGTTAGATTTAAAAAAAAAAAAACAACTCCCGCAGGGCAGTAACATGTTTTCCTCTGTGCCCCCCGCACCCGCTGGAGTTTGGAAGTTTGAGCCTTTACAAACCAACTCAAGTGTCTTAGCCACATTCAACAGTCCTCTGAACTGGCACATTTTGTTTAAATTCGGTTTAAAATGCTTAATCAAAGTACTGGTATGGACCAACCGAGCACCAAAACACCCACAAACTTCAGCCTCTGAGCCTCTTGGCAAAATGCAATCATTGCCAAGTTGCAAGGGGAAGCATGGGATGGCAGTGAGGGGAGGATGCAGCTTGCCTCTGCCCTGAGGCTCTCGCTGGTCTAATCACAGACGTGAGACAGATGAGCAAGAGAAAGTAACCAAAGTCCATGCATTCGCATGGGAACCCGAATGCGTGAGAGGCAGACCCCGAGGCAGCAAGGGAAGGTGGGTGCATCCAGCATCCCTGGGAGCAGCGGCTCAGCAGTCAGCAGCTCCCCTGCCTGTAGAGAGCGTTACAAAGGCTCTGCCATGATCTCTTATGGGCAAGGCCTGATTCTAAGCCTCTAGAGCAGTGGTTCTCAACCTTCCCAACGCCGCGACCCTTTAACACAGCTCCTCATGTTGTGGTGACCCCCAATTTCATCGTTACAAATTGAACATAATTAAAGCATAGTGATTGATCACAAAAACAAGATGTAATTATATATGTGTTTTCCTATGGTCTTAGTCGACCCCCAGGTTGAGAACCGCTGATGATTCATGGGGAGAGGGGGCGCGCGGGGAAGACACACAGAAGTTTCTCTTCGGGGCACAGGACTCGGTCACCTCGAGCTAATACCCTGCATGGCCCTGGGCTCATCTTGGGGTGGCTTCCATCTGAACCTCACAGAAGCAATAGAACTTGGAAAACTGAAATGTCCACAGAATGACTTTCAAGTTCTGTAATTACACCTTGAAATGCTTGGGCAATACCTCAAGTTGTAAGAACACGCCC